GCTAGCGAGTCCAAACATTAACTCGCGGCGCGCAAACAAAAGAAGCCGCTTTATTAAACTTTAAGGCCGAGAGACCTCGCCGAAATTATTCATCGGACGTTGCGCCACGGTTGCTTGCAAACTGGAGCCGCGTTGTTGTTTTGCCTGCTGAAGCTTTCCTTGGGATTCAGCCTGACAAATGCTTTCTCCGCAGTTAAAAACAAAAATAGAACAAAACCCCCGCAGGCTGCCTCTCCCTCCCGCTCTTCTAAAGCCCGGACCACGGCGAGATCGCAGGGTTTGGGGGTTTTATTTTTATTTTTTATTTTTTTAGTGGGGGGACGACTGGAGGGATGAAGCCACACCACACACACACACACACACAGCTGCCTTGGTCGCCCAACTTCATTCTCCCAGCGCCTTTCCACCCTCCCTAAGTTAAAGCACTCACTTGGGGGAGGGGAGTATCTGCCAGCCTCCGGAATCCAGGACGAGCCATCCTCGGAGTTTTCGGACTTCACCGACGAAGTCTCGAAGGTTTTTGTAAGCCCGCTGGGGCTGGGAGCTTCCCTGGAGACGTGAGTGGGCAAGAGCAGGTTCCTCGAAGTACCCAAGCCAGTCCCTTCCAGGCTTCCGCTCGGCTCTCGGGCCGGCTTTTTGTCGGACATAAGCGCTTCCACGCTGAACGGCAAACTGGAGACCTTGACTTTGTGCTGATCCTCGGCCCCAGCCGCGGGGCCCTCTTCGTCCGAGGAGGAGAAAACCTCCTTAGCTTTGGAAGGAGAAGACATCTCGGCGCAGCTTCGCAAAAATCCCCGCGGAGAGAAGCAGCCGCCCTGTGCCTCGCCGCCGCCGCCGCCGCAGCAGCCTCCTCCGCCGCCGCCTTTCTTCTTTGGCTTCTCCTCCTCCTCCTCCTCTTGTTCCCGAGTCCAGACCTCTCAATCAATCTCTCGCTTCAGAGGCTCTCCTGGACGCACCACCTCCGCTCACTTCAGCCCCCGACAACAGACCCAACTTTTTTTTTCCCTCCCCTTTTTTGGGAAACTTCTGGCTGTTTCCTCCTTTGGGAAGTTGAGTAAGCGCGGCTCAGCAAATGAGAGGCGCTCGGGATGGCGACGTAAGGCGGTGACTCCTGTGATTGGCTCTGAGCGGCCCTGAGCATAAATGGCTTTTTTTTTCTTTCTTTTTTCTTTTTGGCCTTTTAAATAAATTAGAAGTTAATGACAAGGGCAGCAAACGGAGCTGTGTTATTAGGGAGCTTTCCAGCTCTGTAACCCTGCCAAACAACAGGAAAGTCGGTGGAGTAATTAGGGCTGATGATACCAAAAGGAAACTCAGAGAGAGCAGATTTCAACCCACCCACCCCTTTTATATTTAGACTCTCTCACCCTGGGGAAAAAAAAGGGGGGCAGAGAAAAAGAGACGGTTGTTTTCAACCAGAATCGCTTCAAAACGAACTACTACTAGACAGCCGTCCCCCCCCCGTCCCCCCCACAACAGTCAAGTCTGCATGATATAATAGCGCCGCCTCCATACTGCAAATGCAACGAGAACTAGGTGGAAAATGGTTGTTCTTTTTTTTTTTTT